CAGATCCAATTTAAGTAGCCTGCTCTTGCAGAATAAGGAGCAAAAATTATCCTAGCCAGGCATTTCTTTGTGATCGCAAACAAATAATTAGGCCATAAGAAAAGAGGCAGTTCCAGACTGCCTGAGACATTTGCTAACACTCAGGTTGACTTCCATACCCCATTTGTCTTTTCTGAATCTCATTGTACCCATGTGCTAAAAAAAGGGGGGGAGGGGAGGTGGCAGAAATGATTTCTGAGGTCCCTGCTAATTTAGTATTAGGCCTCTGCAAGGAGCAATGAGGGTCTTTTTAATACAAGCCTTTTGCTACATGTGTTTAGATCAGTATCTGAATTGGTCTGGGTGACTGATTACTGGTCAATGATAGAGCCTGAGATGAAAACTCTACCCTGAGATCAACTTCTTCTCCCCTCCAGTTAGAAAGAACTGCCATTCAGTTAGTGAACTCTCCATCTCTACACTGCTCAGCTTCCCCCACACGTGTAAAAAATATGAATGCTGCCTCTGATGATGAATGTCATCAAACTCGGGCAATCATACCTATGGGTTGGCTAAAAGAGCATTTTACCTAGAATAAGTAACAGAGCTTAAATTTGAGACATTTCTTTGTGATCGCAAACAAATCATTAGGCCATAAGAAAAGAGGCAGTTTCAGACTGCCTGAGACATTTGCTAACACTCAGGTTGACTTCCATACCCCATTTGTCTTTTCTGAATCTCATTGTACCCATGTGCTAAAAAAAGGGGGGGAGGGGAGGTGGCAGAAATGATTTCTGAGGTCCCTGCTAATTTAGTATTAGGCCTCTGCAAGGAGCAATGAGGGTCTTTTTAATACAAGCCTTTTGCTACATGTGTTTAGATCAGTATCTGAATTGGTCTGGGTGACTGATTACTGGTCAATGATAGAGCCTGAGATGAAAACTCTACCCCGAGATCAACTCCTTCTCCCATTCAGTTAGTGAACTCTCCATCTCTACACTGCTCAGCTTCCCCCACACGTGTAAAAAATATGAATGCTGCCTCTGATGATGAATGTCATCAAACTCGGGCAATCATACCTATGGGTTGGCTAAAAGAGCATTTTACCTAGAATAAGTAACAGAGCTTAAATTTGAGACTAAGCTCTGGCCCTAACTTGGTTTGAGTACTTGGACCTGAACTTCAATTTATATATATTTAGAATTTAAGAAAAGCATCCAACTGCATGACTACAATGTTCCTCAGGTGACATAACAGATATGAATTTTCATAAAGACATGTCATTCAACATTAATTGAGAATCCACAATATGAAAGTAATATGATTTTCAAGAACCCTTCATGCTGTTTTCAGGGAATAAGAGTGTGGCAGGCATGCAAAAAAGTAGCATGAAAAGGCGTTAAAATTGATAGGTCAGTAAAAGAACTACAAAATGGCATGATCAAAGATAATATCCATGTAATATACTACATTAACAGAGAAAATCAGTTAACCATAAAATAATCTCAACAGGTAAGAACCTAAATACAGAAAAAAAGAATAAAATTCAACACCTATTCCTGATTATAAGCCATCAGAAGATGCCCCCAAAATTTCCCAAACTAGAAAGAAGACATATGCCAGGAACCTAAAATAAGTGTCATAATAACACTAGACACTGCCTAGTTAAATACGAAACAAGTTAAAGATGCACACTATAGTCACCACTCTTATTCAGCATTAGACTCGAGATCTTATCCAATCACATAAGACAAAAGAAAAGAACAAACACATCTATTAAATGTGGGAAGAGGAAAGGGGTCTCATTATTTGCAGATAATATGATCATCAATCTAGAAAATTCATGAGAACCAATTTTTTAAGTTTTGAGGATTAAGAGTTTAGCAATGTGGTTAGATTTAATACCCAGGGCTTTCCTAAATATTAGTAAAACCAATTAGAAAATATAAAATAAAAATCACAATCAAAATAACATCCAAAATGACAGTGATATGAAAGGAATATGTTTATGTTTTTTAAAAACAACACTGTTTATTTCTATGTACATGAGTGCAAGTAAATACAGAGCAAGAATTCATGTGGTTTCTTCAGGGAAAGAAGCTGTCTGGGATTGGGCACCAGAAGGACTCAGCTTTTTCTGTCTTCTTAGAATTCCTTGTAGCAACATATATGTGTGCATCACTTGTGAGAGGTATTAATACCAACAAAGGAAGGGAGAATTTCTCTGAGCAGCCTTTGAAAGAGGAGGAGGTTTTCCACAGGTGGAGACATGTGGCAAAGGCATCCCAGAATGGAGGAGAAGCCAGGAGGAAAGGTATGGGGCGTAAACACAAAGGAGTCAGAAATGTTGCCAGTTCCCAGTGTGCACTGTGCAAGTTTATAGTTTACAAAGCACGTTTCACCCATCCATCACCTCATGTGAGGCACTGTCTGTAGTGGTTTAAAGCAGCAGTTTTAGATTTGAATTCAATCTCTGCCCAGCTAGCTGTGTGGCCTTGGGTAAGTTATCCAACCTCTCTGAGCTTCAGTTTTCTCATTTCTAAAGTTGGGCTAATACAAGTACCAGACTTAAAGTAATGTCTTAAATAGAAAAACAAAAAGGAGAGGAAAACTTGAAGCATGAGTGCCCATGTAGGGCATTCTCACCTTTTCTTAGTCCACTCTGAAATTTTGGATTTCTTCTTTCATATGAAAACACCTTATTTTCTATCCTGGAAATCATTGTATTTTATATGAATAATATCTTCACCAGTCTTTTTCCCTGAGATGCTCTGTAATGAAATGTTAATGAACCAGGTGTGTTTTAGAATCCGCACTAGACAAACACACACATATTGCACTGAGCAGGGGCATTCCTCTAATGCACAGGGGACTTCCTGGTCAAGGAAGAGCACTACACAGAAGCTTCCACAGCATTTCTTTTCTTTCTGCTTTACTATTGATTGGGTCCTTTCTATTCTCAGTGAAAGGAGTGGGAAAAGGATAAATGAGAATTCATAAAGCAAGTCAGCTACCAAAGAGAACATCATGGCCAGATAAGAAGGTAGACTTTCCCCCAGCATGGCGGCAGGTGGGCCGGAGGTCAGAAACCATGTTTAATATTTTAACAAGGATGTGGGCATGATCGACATCATTACAAAATGTGATTTCATGAACCAGAGAGGTTGTGTCAGTGCGTTTGTGCACAATGGGACTTTTGGAGAATAATGATGGAAGGCGATACAAATGCAGTCAGAGTTTTATTTCTATTATCTCAGAATTACAGGAAAGTGATGGGACTTTTGGAGAATAATGATGGAAGGTGATACAAATGCAGAGTTTTATTTCTATTATCTCAGAATTACAGGAAAGAAATGATGAGCCAGTAAAGCTTAAAAAATCATATTTAATATCACAAAATTAATTCTTTATGTTTAGAAAACCCCACATAGATTGTATACAACTAAGAAAGTACCTTATATGAATTATGCATGTTGGAATTGACTCTCCCAAAATCAAAATGGGAGATTCACTGATCTGTAAGAACACAGGTTAAATTCTGAGTTAGCATCAGTTTATTTTTCCCATTAATGTTCATATATATATTCTGCAACATTCACTCCTCGATTCAGAAAAAATATTCAATGTTGTCCACATTCCCTTTTTCATTTTTTTTTATTTTTTTCAATCCTCACCCGGGGATATGCTTACTGTCTTTAGAGGGGAAGGGAGAGAGAGAGAAAAAAATGTCAATGTGGGAGAGAAATATTGATTAGTTGCCTCTTGTACGTGCCCAACCAGGGACAAAACCTGCATCCCAGGTGTGTGCCCTGTGCAGAACTGAATCGCAACCTTTCAGTGTATGGGTTGATGCTCCAACCAACTGAGCCATACTGGCCAGGGCTCCACATTCATTTTTAACTTTGAAATTTCCTTAAGGACCTATCTAGCCCATTCTTTAGGTAAGCTGATTAATTTTCAAAAATGTTGAGAGTATTAAATGAGAAGCTCAACGAGTTTACTTCTCTTCTTAACCCCCCTCCTCAATTATGTACATCAGTTTGTTCTCTTTGAAACAAAATCTTCTTGGTTAAACATTTTCTATCAAGCTCTTATGAAAAATAGCATATTATGTACTAGAGCAACAGAAGAACTTTTTCTACGACGGGGTAGGGGAGTCTGGGGGAAGGCCAATGGGGGGGAAAAGGAGATATATGTACTACTATGTGTAATACTTTAAACAATAAAATAAAAATTAAATAAAAAGAAGAACTGCGTCTAATACACTTAGCCTTTCCTTGCACCCCTGCCCTGAAACATGTCCCCTTTATTCTATGGCCCCTAGATCCACAAGCCCAGGAGGTTCTTGAATAGCCTCAGACTACCGGCTCCCAAGAGAGGCTAGAGAACTCTTTCAGCCTGTATCTCATTAGCATTCCCTGACTCTGACTTCATCCTGTCACAAGGCCCTTTGTGGAAACCAGAGCCAATTCATGAAAGTCCCCAGAGCAAGGGCGACAATGTACATTACCCTTAGTGGCTAATAAGTCATTCTATCACCATCAAAAGTATTTTTGAGTGTCTTTTGCCCTGGGCAGTGTATAATACAGAGTGCTTGCCATATGGGTCTGTGTTTCAATGGCTGGCCTGGGAAATTTTTTCCAGAGCAGTAGGTTACTTAAAAACATTGCAGAGTTAGTAGTTTGTCACAGGTCTGGGTATCACCAAGTTGATCCATGTGATCAATTCTTAATCCAGCCATAACAGGACTGGCTGATGCTGGACCTGTCAGATCCAGAACTAATATAATAAAGGGCAGGTGTGATACTATTGGAATCAAAACAGTGCTGCACAGACTCAGCCACACACAGAAACCCTAGGTCCAGCTGATCATTTACAGATGCCTATTCTTGTTTATGATGGGGATAACTGGGAATGAATGAATGGCTTCATAGTTTCCCATAACTCCTGTGGACAGAAACAGACTCATAGCACATGCTCTACCAATGATAAGAAAGGAACACTGGGCTTGGGAAGAAAAGACTTGAGTTTGAGTTGAGCTCCCTGCATACATCTTGGGTAAAATGTTAATCACAATGAACTTCAAGTGCTTCAAATGTAAGATGAGAGTAATGGCACGTACATACTTTACAAGGTTATCAGAAAGCTCAAATTTGGTAATGATTATGAAAATGCTTTGCAAAATGCAAAAAAAATTATACACATGTATACATGCATTTGGAATTATGTGTGTTAAATTATCACCTTATTCTAATCTAAGTGGTGCTGATGAGCAAACTGAAACATTTCAAACAGCGCTTTTAATGTATATAAGAACCACCTGGTAATCTTGTTAAAATGCAGATTCTAATTCAGTAGGTCTGATGGGACCCAAGAGTCTGTAGTTCCAATAAGCTCTCAAGTGATGATGATACTGCTGATTCAAGCACCTGAGTTCTTTTCGTAGCAAAGACTCAGGACAACTTAGGACCCCAAAAAGTGATGAATTTCAAAAATGCTTGCATATATTCCTCTGGGATTAAGAATCTGAACATACATGGTTATTTAATTTCATACACAAAGACAGTTTTTACTTTGTACTGATTACATGCCCCGAGGGCACAGGAGTCGGTCACATTAACTTAGGTTGTGGACCATGGGGGTCTGTGATCATAAACCATAAATACAATCAAGAAATATTGATGAATGTATTCTATACATTTTTTTTTCCTTTAGAGTTTTCTTTACCTAAATGCTCAGCTACCCTTTAGAGAAAATTTAATTTGGCAACTCATTCTGGCCATCTTGAGAAATTACTTCCAGTAGAAAAGAGCTGTGATAGAATGGCCTAAGAGGGGCCTTTCTTTTATACGTGTCCACTAGGCCCAGCAGCCTCTCCGCAGCTATGCACACTGCGAAATTCATCTTTGTCACAAATAGCAAGTCACATGCTATGGAATATCACAATCTCATTATGGGATGTCATCTCACAGCACAAATACATTATTTTCACCAGATTTACAGACAGTGCAGCCATGTCACCACTGGCAGGTGATGGATGGGCTCGATCTGGATGTATCTGGGTGTGTGATTTACACATGGCAGGACCCTGACATACGTGGACTTCAGCCAGACCCTGAAGGGCTCTGAAGAAGGTTTCTCCTTCACGGTCTCGTACACATAAAACCCAGTGGTTGGAAAATGTTGTGGCACCTACTTTAATGGAAAAAAAAGAGGGACAATCTTAAAAGTCTCCCTGTAATACTTGCCTTAGCTTCTCATGTATTAGAATGTAGACCTCATAGTAAGAAGACTTTGGTGGACTTCACACATAACCCCACTGGGTAGGCCAGCAAAAAACATCTGATATTAAATTCCATTCTCTAGGAAAAATGTTATTTAACAAGGCATTGCATCTCACATGAGAAGAACCACTATGCTGTAGCATTTGGGGATTTCTATGGCAAGCAAGTAATTTACTAAGAGAATAAGAAGTAGTCTACGGCCATACCACCCTGAACGCGCCCGATCTCGTCTGATCTCGGAAGCTAAGCAGGGTCGGGCCTGGTTAGTACTTGGATGGGAGAATAAGAAGTAAGAAGATTATATACATGCATTTATAGTAGCCCCTTTGTCCACAGGGGATATGTTCCAAGACCCCCAGTGAATGCCTGAAACCACAGATATTACCCTATGCATACTGTTTTTTTCTTATACATATACTAGAGGCCCAGTGCAAGGGTAGAGTCGCTAGGCCTGGCCGGTGGTCAGGGCCGATCTGTGGGCGATCGAGGCCTTCCACTCACACCCACCTTGGCCTGGTGGCACCCACGCACTTGCTCCACCATCCCGCCGTGGTCCCCGCTCTTGTCAGGGCCCATCAGGGCCAGCAGCACCTCCACTGCCACCCACAGGGACACCCGCCATGGTCCATGCCGCCCCCTGGTGGTCAGTGCATGTCTAACTCCCAGTTGGTTGAACACCCACCTGTGGGGACAATTTGCATATTAGCCTTTCATTATATAGAACTAGAGGCCCTCAGACTGGCCTGCGGGGATCAGGCCGAAACCAGCTCTGCGGCATCTCCCAAGGGGTCCCATATTGCGAGAGGGTGGTTCTCTGCTGACACACCCCAGAATTGGGCTCCCTCCTCTCTGGTTTATGCATCATCCAAGAACCGCTGCTGCCAAGTTACCACAGCTCGGCAGCTCCTGCATTGAGCATCTGCGCCCTGGTGGTCAGTGCACATCATAGCTACTGGCCAGTCGGCCAGTCACTTAGGCTTTTATATATATAGATACCTTTTCACTTAATGGAAGCACTTTACAGCTCCTCTTTGGCATATCTGAATTGTCAGCATCACTACTCTTGTGCTTTGGGGTCATTATTAAGTAAAATAAGAGTTATTTGAACACAAACAATATGATGCCATGACATTGGATCTGATGACCAAGACAGCTACTAAGTGACTAATGGGCCAGGAGGATAAACAGTCTGGATACGCTGGACAAATAGATGACTCACAAACTGAGCAGGCCAGCGTAGGGGGTTATCACGCTACTCAGATTGGTGAGCAATTTAAGTTTAACATTTTTTCTTTCTGGAATTTTTCATTTAATATTTTCAGACCACAGCTGGCTTTAGTAACTGAAACCACAGCAAGCAAAACCATGGATGGGTGGAGAGGAAGAACTATTATACTTGTGGCCACTTTATATCCTTGGAAAGAGAGAAGAAATGGAATAATATAAATCTCATAATAGAAATTTTCCATTTTAGAGGGATCTAAAACCCCTCATATCTTGTATCCATTGCTTTAATCTCTTCCCCACACTGTAGTTCCCTAATCTTTGTTCGAATACTTGGGATATAGGGGAAATCATCATCTCCAAAAAGAAATTTCTTTTCATTGCTGAAATACTTGAACTGTTAGAAAATTCTTACACATAATGAGTCTGTGTCTCCAATTCCCAACCCCTGGTTCCAGCTCCAAGTCTTAGTGGCTCCCAGAATAAGTCTATCTCATCATTTACCCATTTTCCTAGCCCTCCAAATCTCTAGATTTTACCTTCCACCAACATGATCCCTAATGGGAAATTTAATTTTATGAAGAAGTAGCATCATACATTGAATTTTATTTTTTTATTTTTTTATTTTTTGAGAGAGATATCCAGACAGCAGGAGAAAGAGCAATAACACACTAAATGAAGCTGGGGATTCTGCCCACCATTTGGCCCAGTGATTGTGCACCCCAGGAGAAGATGAGAAGCTCTTTCCTCTGCTGGCTCATTTCCCAGGTGTCTCCCAGAGTACAGGCAACTTAACACACTGCAAGTGTTTTAAGTACTTAAGATAACTTTTTTTTTGGGGGGGGGGGCGGGGGGTATAACATGACCCAATTACTTTAATTGACAAACTTCTGATTGGCAAACAAATATTAGTTGTAAACTAAGTAACTAAGTGTATGAGTTTTCTACTGCTGCTATAACAAATTACCTACCCCAAATGTTGTGACCCAAACAACACAAATGTATTATAGTTCTGGAGGGTCGGAAATCTGAATATGGGTCCTATGGGATCAAATTCATGTGTCAGCAGGACTGTGTTCCTTGCTTTCTCCACCTAGGCTGTCTGCTTTCCTTGTCTCATGGCCTCCTTTTAACAATGGCATCACTTCAACCTCTGCTTCCATCCTCACATCCCCTCCTCTGACTCTGTCTCTCCTGCCTACCTGTTGTGATTTAGGTTAATGCCGGCCAATCCCCTCATCTAAAAATCCTTAACTTAATTACATCTGCAAAGTCCCTTTTGCCCTATAAGATAACATAGTCATAGGTTTTCAGGATTAGGATGTGGGCTTCTTCAGGGGGCCGGGGGTGGGGCAGAGCAATAATCAGCCCCCTACACTAAGTCAAAGCAGAGACAATTCTGCATTTCTAATATAAGTGTCTATTTCCTAAAGATAGCGCAGTAAGGAAAGCATACGTGCCCGGGGTCTGATCTTAGCATCTCTTCCGCCACTGTCTAGCTTTGACATTGGCGTTAACTCATTTTCAGACCTGGGACTAGGACGAGATGAGGCATTTAGGGAGCACAGGTTAAGGCAGCACTCACACTCAGGTGCCAACCTGTACTCTCACACCCCTGAGAGGGAGGGTCTCCTTAAATTCTGAACTCTAGGCACTTTGCTTGCTACATCCTAGGCTCTACATCACTTCATCTATCTACACTTTTGTTTTCTCATCTGTAGAATTGGAGTATAAGGTTAATCATCATTACTCTTTTTTATCTTGCTTTTTTGTTTTACTCTGTTTTAGGAGAAACAAATGAACTAGTGGATATTTTGCACAATGCATGCCATTCATGACAACTAGTTTTCTTACAGCATGGGAGTAGAGTAAGGAATACTTCCTAACCTTTCACTCAATTAAAATGTAAAAGTAAATTTATGTACACAAAAAGTATTAACATATATGTTTACAAAGAGAAATCAGGAATGTCCAAAAGAAAGTGTATTTGTTTATGGAAACGGTCCTTCTACCTTAGCTGCACATTGGAATCATACAGGGAGCTTTATAAATTTCTGATACCTGGGCCTCATCCCCAGAGAATCTCATTTAATTGGTGTGGGGTACAGCCCAGGCAATGGGATTTTTAAGACTCCCCAACTGACTCTAACATGCAGCCACGGTTGAGAACCACTAGTTAATGACTACTTTAAAAGCCTCAGAAATGTGTTTTGAATTTATTTTAAATTTTATGGAGAATATAGAACACACTTTTTCTATTTGTGGAGTTTATTCCATAGAATCAACATGACAGGTAAAATTCACAATATCATATTTTGACTCATACACACAACTTTTCTGTTAATACATAGGAGGCATCTAAATGTCAAAATGCAAGTAAATGGCCTGGCCAGAGTGCCTCAGTGGTTGAGTCTTGCCCTATAAACCAGGGGGTCATGGTTTGATTCCCAGTCAGGGCACATGCCTAGTTTGCAGGCTCAATCCCCAGTATGGGGTGTGCAGGAGGCAGCCAATTAATGATTATCTCTCATCATTGATGTTTCTATCTCCCTCTCCCTTTCTCTCTGAAATCAATAAAAATATTCTTTAAAAATGCAAGTAAATGCTTGTTTTCACTCTATATATGTGTATATGTGTGTGTATCATCCTATGTAATCCTATATAATAAAAGTGTAATATGCAAATCGACTGAACAGTGGAACCACTGGTCAGCAGGGAGCGGGGCTGGTGAGCAGGCAGCACCAGGCCAACCAAGGCGTGTGCCAGCGGGCAGAGAAATGGGACGGTGATCAGGGGGCAGTGGTGACCAGTGGCGGTAGAGGGGCAATTCGGGGCAGGGGGTACAGGGCCAGCCACTCGCCCTGTCACCTCCCACAGAGGGAGGCCACTGGCAGCAGCCGCTGAGGCAGCAGGGGTGGTAGGGCGGGGCCGGCCGCTCGCTGGCCGGCTCCATCCCCTGATTGGCCCACCCGGTCGCCTCCCGCAGAGGGAGGGCGCAGGCCGGCCTGAGGGACCCCCCCCCCCAAGTGCACGAATTTTTGTGCACCGGGCCTCTAGTGTGTATGTATGTGTGTGTATATATATATATATATATATGAACAAGATGCAGTGAGAGCATAGAGGAAGGCCAGTATGCCATTTCTCCTTGGACATGGCATGGGGAAGAGAGTAAAACAGACCACCGCAAGGTTCTGCAAGGAATTTTGTGAAGGTGCTGAGAAGGGCCCTTCTCAGAGTTGATGTAGCATGATCAGAGCCTAAATAAGAGTAATTGACATATCATATAAGATTTCTAATTTCTCAGCATAGAATTATTTAAACGATGCCTTATTGAATAGAGAGCACTTTAGCATTCATCAAATTACTTAAACACCTTCCTGAAATACTGCTCAGCAATAAAAAGGACCCACCTGTTAATGAACACAGAGGAAGGATGGATATTGAGGAGATTGTGTTGAGTAGAAATAGCCAATCTCAGCCCGACTGGCATGGCTCCATGGATGAGCATTGACTTAAGAACCAGGAGGTCATAGTTCGATTCCCAGTCGGGGCACATGCCAGGGTTGCAGTTTCGATCCTATATGTTGCTATGCTTTTCTCCTTCACCAGACTGGATGCCTCTGGAGGGTAGGGAGTGACCTCTGCAGTTTCTGATGATAAATGTTCTGTTCTCAATAAATGCCTGTCAAATTGTTTGAGTTTATGTAAATTAGGTTAGGGGTCCAGAATTTGTTGGCACATGGAAGTGGGGTGCATGCAGGAGGCAGCCAAACAATGATTCTCTCTCATCTTTGATGCTTCTATCTCTCCCTCTCCCTTCCTCTCTGAAATCAATAAAAATATTTTTTAAAAAAGAAATAACCAATCTCAAAACCCTATACACTGCATGATCCCATTTATATGACATTCTTGAAAGGACAGAATTATAGAGAACAGATTAGAGGTTTCCAGCAGTTCAGGATGAAGGGTGTGGGGTGAAAAAGGAGGGTGGGAATGTAATAAGTTAGAAAGAGGGAGATCACTGTGGTGGTAGATTAGTTCCATAGCTTCATTGCTGAAGTTGTATCAAGCTACATGTGTGATAAAATATCACAGAACTATATGCTTACATTGTGCCAATGTCAGCTTCCTGGTTTTGATATTGTACTATATCAAATATATTATCCTATATAATAAAAGCCTAATATGCAAATCTACAGAAAGGTGGAACAACCGTTTGGTGAAGGGTGGGGCCAACCAGCGGGTGGCACCAGGCCAGCCAAGGTGGGTGCCAGCGGGCAGAGTGAGGGGACAGGGATCGGGGAGCAGCGGTGACCAGCAGTGGTAGTGGGGCAATGGGGGGCGGGGCTGGAGCTGCCCCCTGGTGGTCAGTGCACTCCCACAGGGGGAGCGCCACTCAGCCACAAGCTGGGCTGATGGCTGGCAAGCACAGTGGCAGTGGCGGGAGCCTCTCCCACCTCCCACAGCAGTGCTAAGGATGTCCGACTGGCGGCTTAGGCCCCCAGGGGGAGAGGACCTAAGCCTCCAGTCAGACATCCCCCAAGGTCTCCCAGACTGTGAGAGGGTGCAGGCCAGGCTGAGGGACCCCCCCACCTCCCTGAGTGCACAAATTTTTGTGCACCAGGCCTCTAGTATGTACTATATATGTTAAGATGTAACCAATGGGGAAAACTGAGTTAAAGTACACTGAACTTCTCCATACTATCTTTGCAATCTCTTATGCATCTATAATTATTTCAAAATTAAAAGTTATTAATGAAATAATATAAAACATTGTTTTGAAAGAAACTCCATAATCCTAATATTACTATTCTAAATCAAAAGGCAGTTTAGGACCCTGAAAAAAAGAAAAGCAAAATATATTATTGTGTTGCTTTTATTCCTATACTAGAGGCCCGGTGCATGAAATTCGTACCCAGGTAGAATCCCTAGGCCTGGCCAGCAATCAGGGCCAATCTGTGGGGTGACCTGCAGGGCAATTGGGTGGCCCCCACTGGCACCCGCCTTGGCCGGCCAGGCACCACCTGCTTACTGGTCCCGCCCCCCGCTGCCACTGCTGGTAGCCTCCCTCTGCAGGGCAACTGGCAGGGCGATCAGTGGGGCCCCTGTTGGCATCTGCCTTTGGCTGGCCTGGGGCCTGGGAGCTGGGGGCAGCTCCTGCATTGAGCATCTGTCCCTTGGTGGTCAGTGCCCATCATAACAACTGGTCATTCTGCTGGTCGTTCCACTGTTCGCATATTAGGCTTTTTGCATATTAGGCTTTTATTATATAGGATTCTCTCCTTATATCTCTTTCCCTCTCCTTTATGTCTTCCCTTTCTCCTTCATTCCTTTCTTTCACTTTCTCTTTTTTTTCTCACCTCCCAATCCCCTTTCCAAAATTTCAGCTTGATGAATACATTTTAAGATTATTCCAAACAACAGAAAAAAGAAAACATAATAAAGGGCTTAAATGATAGTGAAAAGTTAATGATGCTGCAATAAGTCTCAGTTGTTATTAGGCTACAACCCCATTCTGAAAATTTAGTTTATTATTTCCACAGCAGGACACTCATAGGCTGTTTTATTAATATGCTAGCTTTGGGCTAAAATAAGAACCAAGTAACATCTCAATTACAACCACTTTAGCTCCTTTAATTTAATGGTGACATACTAACAACAATGAACAAATTTTGGGATGAGAATGAAAAATGTAGCTTTAATTTTAGACTTTCAGATATTTATGTATTTATAAAAATTGATTATGGACTGATATTTTAAACTCTGTTTTGCTTAAAATTTGTTCTCATAACAAAAATAAAATTGTCTTTTATGGGGAGAATTCCTATTCTAACCTCACTAATATATCTAATAAAGATAGGCACCTCTGTTGTAGTTAAGTGCTCTAGAGAAATAATTTATAAAGCAAATCACATTTTTCTTTTGATTTCCAATTTGACAACAACAACAAAAAAATAAGTTGTTCTAGCAGTTCTTTCCAATGAGAAGTGGGGTGATTAGAAGTTTCCCTGAGGCTTGGCAGCAGGCTTGGCCGCAGTCGGAACCCAGGGCCTCAGGTGAGGATTCCCTGCGCTTCCTGCTCCATGACTGGTGTTCTTAACAATAGACAGATGCTGAAGCTCAAAGGCCTCAGCCCCTTCTCCATGACATACCAGTGCTGTGACAAAATCCTTCCTCGATCTTTAAATGGCATAATTTATATTTCCAAGTAAATAAGAGACACCTAAAATTATTCAAAGGAATTAGTGGGTTTTGTTCAAACAAAAAGGAAATGAAGCCTTTTTATTTTTTACACACACAAAAAAATTACATACTTCAGAACACCTAAAAATATCTTGTAATTGAAGAGCATATGATTATCCCTTAAGGAAAAAGAAGTAACTAATTATACTAAGAAATTTAATTAGATTAGCATATATCTTAATGGTTCTAGAGTCACTGTGGGCCTTTTTTAATTGTTAGGGAGATCTGTACATTTGCTGACTTAAAAAAAGAAGAAGAAGAAGGGCCCACTAGGTTATTAGAACCCATTTTATTAAGTTCCTCCAACTCAAAGTGATCAAATAAAGTCAAATTAGAAAAACAAGTTGTGAATTCAAAGAGATGCTGACCCTTCTTGAAAGTGAAATATAAAGCAGATACGCCAAGAGCTACTTCCAAAAAAATGAATCCCTGGACCAACTTGGAGAGTGAGTTCCAGTGTTACGAAATGAGAAAAATCACCAAGCTATATTTTCAAGTAAACAAAAAGCTATAGAGTTACACATAATATAATTATCATTATGGAAAATAATGGTATTATACAAAAATAAATACATATTGTAAACAAATCCATAAAAATATGTACTCCTTTAGTTTTCTTTTCTTTTCTTTTTCCTCCCTGCATTTCATCCAATCTGTAGCTGGTGCTTTCAAGTAGACTTCAGCTGTTTCTCAGGGCCACTCTGTGAGGACTAGGAGTGGGAAAAGCTTCTTCCACACCTCCCTTCCATGTGCTTCATGGCCATAGCAGCTACGTCCTCTCTCTGCTTCTGTCTTGCTCCTCACTGTGGAGGAGAGAGGATGTGTCCAATTGGTTGGGACTAAGAAAATGAACCTGCACAGTTTTGCCCCTTCGTCTCCCCTTTTCCACTTTGAGATCTGATCTTTCCATATGAAACATGCATTCTGCTCTACTTCATGCCCTAAGTTTTATAAAGGCATACGTAGTAAATCTTTCTATTTCTGTAATTCAATATTAGTAGACCTGTTAGCCCATAAACAGAAACTATATCCTCTGGCATCAGCTTCCTTGAAAATAATATATGTTGCCCTCCCACCTACCTTATTCTTAATTCTTACACTTCCCTTGGTTCAGAACCCAGATGGACAAGAGGGGACTATTTGTTGGGCCTGTTCAAACCTCAACAGCTCTACATGGAATAGCAGGGAACAAATCCTCTGATCAAACTGGATTTAGTGCTAGTGACTTGGGACCTGGTAGGGGCTGACTGACTGACACCCATCTACCAAGAGGTGTTCAAGTCAGAAGACAATCAGTATATTTTTTAGAGATTATTGAACAAATGTCACTATAAAAATAAACATTCTGTTGTTATTATTAGAGATTTATGTGCACTTAATGTAATTAAAATATTTTTATTGCAATGAAAATAAATCTTACCGCATGGATGATTTTAAGTCTCAGAAAAATTCCAGTCAAGTCCCCCTTGCTGTCACCTGCAAGATATGCTTCCTTCTGCCTCAATTTCTAAAATACTTCCTTTGTAACACTCAAGCCACTTACCACAAGCAGCCTTTTGTGGCAGCAGCTATGAATATGTCTTCTCTGTCATTTCTAGTGTTGTTAGCTCCTGCAGCCCTGGGACCTTATCTCATCCATGGCTGTGTGCTTTGCAGCATCTATTATAGAGATTTGCAATTTGTAGATAGCAATGAAATGTAATTAAAAAATGTTTTAAGGCAAGCAGGTCATAAACCAAAAGGCTTAGAGTGGATGGCAAATCATATTATGTAGTTTTCCTCTCCATAGCCATTTAATCACAGATTTAAAAATCAATAGACATCAAGAACATTCCTGAAAAAGAGAAATTCCAAAAGAATAGGGAAGATGAAAAAGTGAAAAGGGGGGAGGGCAGTACCTCTAGTCCTCCATGTTTAAGTTTTTCACTATTTCTT